ACCCTAACCCTCATCCCTTTATCTCTCATGCCTGTCATCCCTTCATCATTCTTCCATTATCGCTGCCCTCATCTCTTCATCCTGCCTCCCTCATCCCCGTCACATCTGCCATGATAAAGGCAACCTATAATAATATTCTTTTAAACTCAGAAACAACTCTAACCCATCATAGAGGATCGTTCTGTTGTCACTGATCCTCAGTTTGGAAAAGCAGGCGTTGATTTCCTCATTGTTCGTTTCACAGCGTCAGAGTTTTACTCTCTGAAACTGCAGCAGTGATTTTATTCCCATTATTCTCGCTCCTCTGTGGTTCACAAACATCCAGGGAGATAGTTTCTAGGTCAATCTGTTAATTAGAGCTTGTTCCCAAAACTCTACTATCAAGCTGTGAACCAGAAATAAGCAGACGTCCTGACGTGCGTGTTTTTCGTCACATTGTTTTAATTAGCATGCACCGGTTACGTTCACTCTTCACACGTCAGCTCATTTGGAGATTCTGCAGAGTTTCACGGAGATGACAGCTCTGGAGAACGTCCGGTCACACACAGCATGATATCAGTTTGTTTATTGCTCTGACGTTTGTCTGTGTGAACAACAGCTCACTGCTCAGGTTCTGGAGAACAAGGACATCGGTTTCGGGATGGTCGACTCCCAGAGGGACGCCAAAGTCGCCAGAAAACTGGGTATGACTCGTTTGTCATGTATTTAGTTCCACAGTCTGTCGCTAAGTGTGTCTTTTATTTACATCATTGTTTTCTACCAGCCTGGTCTCTATTCTACGATGAAGAATCAGAGAATAAAGTTCTTATATTACAAAAATAAAGTCGGGATTTCATGAGGAACAGTCAGAACAGTATGAGAAACACTTATGTGTCATAGTAGGATCCTTAAATTCCTTGTGCCACGTCTCCCACGTTAGGTCTGGAGGAGGTGGGCAGTTTGTATGTTTTCAAGGACAACCGTGTCATTGAGTTCGATGGCGAGCTCTCAGCAGACACACTGGTGGAGTTCCTGTTGGATGTGAGTAAAGAACTGAAGCCTCATTGAAGTGATGATGTGAGTTTCAGCAGGAAAAGCTTCCATGCAATTACACCCAAAAAGGAGATCTCTAACATTTTCATACAGGTCATTGCTTTGAGCTCTGCTGTGTTTCTTTGTATGCCGACACCCTGCCTGTGCTGTGCTGCCCCCAGGTGTTGGAGGACCCAGTGGAAATGATCAACAACGCCATGGAGCTGCGAGCCTTCGAGAGAATGGAGGAGGACATCCGCCTCATCGGCTACTTTAAGGGAGAAGATTCATGTTAGTTTATCTCCGTACTCACGTGTCTCAGTTCAGGGGCCGCATCCTTCGGAGGAGGATGTGGCCCCTGAACTGAGACTCAGCAAACGAGTAAATTAATGCACTTGTGTTTTCATTTCTACAGACGAAGAACATGTAATGGATCAGAAATACATCTCACTCTCCACTAAAGTCGCCTGGGATCTAGAGGCTAATGTCGCCATTAGTGCCGTGAAGCCTAACTGGCTGCTAAATGGAAACCTGATTCCAGACTCTCGCTCGGCCCCGTGAGAACCTTAAAATAGTTCCTGCCTAGTGGGTCAAACTGCAATTATAGGTCCTCTCGAAAAAAGGCAGAAAAAGTGAGACTGTGCAGGACGATGTTATCTGGTCCAATATGACAGAGGCATGAAGTTTCATTAGAGCCGCTCTCCGTCCTGTGGCAGGTCGGTCCTTGGCGGTGACCTTGTTGAGCCATGAGCGTGTTACCAGCGTATGAAAGCGTATTGAGGGAGACTTTGTTACGAGGGTGACGACAGTTCAATCATGATGGGAAATTGAATGAAAAGAGTTTCCCTCCCTGGAAACACTGGACATTCGGCAAAGAACGCGACCAGAATGAATGAATGAACGTCTGCAGCTACATCTGTTCTACTGGACTCTCTTGGTTTCTCACTGAGTTTCTCTCTCTCTCTCCCTCTCAGACTACAAAGCTTTCCAGGAGGCCTCGGAGCGTTTCCAGCCTTACATCAAGTTCTTTGCTACATTTGATAAATCTGTAAGTCTTCACCAACAACATAAAATCCTAATCCTGGAAGAAACATCATTCGCCGCCATGTTTTTGATTTGTCTCTCGTACACATTGCTTTTCCAGCAGGAATAACGTTATGGGAAATGGGATTATTTGCTTTCTTGTCAAATACGGTCATCAACAGTGTGCAGCTGTTAAGCCTATATCCATTATCCATCCATTATCTATACCGCTTATCCTCTGAGGGTCGGGGGCTGGAGCTCATCCCTGCTGACAGTGGGCGAGAGGCAGGACACCCCCTCCACACATTTACTCAGGAGGACTTGTAGAAATCCCACAAAGACACGAGGAGGCCAGGAAACCACTGGCCCTCTCTTGCTGTTAAACCGAGCTCAGCATTAAACAACATTGGTTGAAACCTTGTTATCCACCACCAGCACTTTATTGTTTTAGGTTTCCAAACATCTCTCTCTGAAGATGAATGAGGTGAATTTCTATGAGCCGTTTATGGAGGAGCCGGCCGTCCTGCCGGGCCGACCTCTGTCGGAGATGGAGATCGTGGAGTTCGTCAACCAGCACCGAAGGTTGATCTCTGTCTGTTTCTGTAATTTAAGGTGAAGTGCTGTAAAAAGGCGTTGACACATTGTGGAGTGTTTTTATGAAAACGTGTTGTTCACAGGGCAACACTGAGGAAGCTGCGGGCGGAGAACATGTTTGAGACGTGGGTGAGTCACTGCTCAGTCCGGTGTATTTTTACATTCTGATGATTTGGTTTGGTTTGATTTGATTTTTGTTGTGTTGTGAATCAGATCTTTTGCTGTAAACTCTATTTCTAGGAAGACGACATGGATGGAATACATATTGTTGCATTTGCTGAGGAAGAAGATCCAGGTCTGTACCTCGAGCTCAGAGCTTTTAGCCTTTTGGTTCCACTGTTTTTTTATTTAGCCTCCGTGCCGGCAATAGTAGCCAGAGGCATTTTGTGCTCAGGTTGTCTGAATGTGTGGACGTTGGTGCATTCATCTGTTCTTGCTGCTCTTGTGAGCCCGATATCTCTAAGTATCTCCTGAAGCAGGTTGGTAGAGGCTCACAACTGCAGCTGAGCTCTGCTCTGTTATTCCCAGATGGTTATGAGTTCCTGGAGATCCTGAAAGACGTCGCCAGAGACAACACCAACAACCCAGAACTCAGCATCGTCTGGATCGACCCCGACGACTTTCCTCTGGTTCTGCCTCATCATGAGATCAAATTTCTAAAGATACAACATCTGTACACAGCCGCCCTGTGTGATCCTGGTTTGTCTTGTCCCTGCAGCTGACCACCTACTGGGAGAAAACCTTCAAGCTGGACCTTTTTCGTCCTCAAATCGGTGTTGTCAACGTGACAGATGTAAGTACGAGTAAAAATAGAGAACGAAGAGACGTGTTCTTACCGTCTACATTGACCCTCCTGGTCCCGTGTGTTCCAGGCGGACAGTGTGTGGCTGGACATGTCCAACGATGAGGACTTGCCCACAGCGGAGGAGCTGGAGGACTGGATAGAGGACGTCCTGTCAGGGAGGGTGAACACCGAGGACGATGACGAGTCTGCCGATGACCAGGAAGACTCTGACAGCTACGTCGAGGAGGACAACTACGAAAGTCACGACCAAGATGATGAAGATGACGGTGATGACTAAACTGGAAGTCCTCACACGTTAGAGACAGATTGTTGAAAGTAGATTAATTAGTTAGGCTGGTAAAACAGAATCATACGTCAGAAGAACATCTGTTGCCAAGTTTATAGCAAAAGTATTGTAGTGCCTAGAGTCTGGAGTCAATTGTCCTCAACTTAAGAGTCAGGATATCAGCTTACTAACGTTTCTGTGTGACGTAGACATGTGAAGCTGCAGAGATGTGTGAGAATCAATAAAACAAGAAAACAAGGACAAGAAAAATCACACCACCCGTCAAACCATGTGCAGAATCTGAAAAGAGGATTAAGTAAAACCGGTGAAAAGGATTCAGAGAAAGTAAATGATTGAATAAATCAAATAAAAGGATAAAAGGGTTTATCTGTAAAAGGAGGTTGTTCCAGGGTTCGTAATAAAAAGATGCTTCACTCTGGGTCTTTGTTCTGAGGAGAGTTCTCCAGGGTTCATGTGGTCAAAGCAAATATGATCAATAACTAAGACCAGTCAGAGCTTTATAAACCATTAAGAGTTGAAATAAATATTCTGAGAACACACACTTCACTTCTCTCCCTCATTACCAAGCTCCACACCGATGCTCAACACGGCAGATTGGCAGATTTTCTCCTCCTTGAATTGATCACCTTGAATTATTCAAACAGCGGTGAATAATTCAGCACTGTTATGCCTCCTAATGGGAGTAGGGACCTGGACAGTGAGGCTGGGGGATCACAGGGGGTCCGTCGGGGGTCCTACACGCTGCTAAACTACTGGACGTGAATAAATGATACAGCAGGGCCATGCAACAATCGTTGCTCCCTCGGAGGTGGATGGGATGCAGCGTGGACAGAAAGATGAGTGTGTGTGGATGTGTACATCTCTGTCATGAGGAAGAAGACGTGTTACATCATCCTGTGAACATCAAGTGTGATATTAAGACTGATCCCTCTCACACACACACACACACACTCGAACAGGTTCAATGTAAAGCAGCGGAGAACCAGGACAAGAGAAGGTGTCAGGTGCAGATCTCTGTTCACAACTAAACCCAAAAGATTTCTGTTCGTTCCTTGATCTGCACATAACCAACTCATTACCCAAGAAATAGAGAGCGAGGAATGAAGGGAAGGAAAATCATTCCATTTAGATGCAAATGCTCC